TGTGAAATAAACAAAAAAATAATCAAAATTTAAAAGAAATAAAAGATCTCTGAAAAGTAACACACTGATATCAAGAAACCCACAGTGGCTTTTGGTTCTGAAAATTCATATCGTTAATTACATAAAATTAGATTAGCATAACATTAGAGTCAAATTATTTTCAGTAGATTCATAGAAAAAGCATTTATTTATGGTGTATATTATATGGAAAATAAATATTTTTTAATGTTCCCAGTAATGTTGCAAAACATTTCTTATGTACCATGTGCATCATCATAACTTACAATTCTGAAGAAAGGCTTCATGTCCATGTTAGGAGAAATATGAGCTTTTTCACATTTTGTCTTCAAACAACTTTATAGAATGGAAACACCAGTTTTGTGCCAATAATAACTATGCCAGTAATTCACTAATAGGGAAATTGAGCCATTACCTTAACCATCTTGGGTTGATCCAGCAATAAGTTCCAAGCTAAAGATGGGAGAAATGCTGCACAGATTTTTGTCACTTTTTATCAAATTTTATCAGCTGATTTGAGATGGAATATATACACTTTGTCAAAAGCATCATTGGCCTTAGTTAGCATTTACAAATGAAAAAAAGATAGCATCTGACTAGATGAGAAAAGGAGCATATTGTTTATACTAATACATATAAAAAATATTACCAATAAATCCTGCCTATCTCTCAGTTTGCTGTAACAATATGGATGGATGAGGTTTATAAACACTGACAGCCAACATTTGACTGGTAAATAAGAACATTTCAAAGCTGAATTGAAATCAAATAATTTGTCATTTTTCTCTGAAATTAATACCTACTTTTTAGACAGAAATTTTGAAATTCACATACTTAATATCCAGAAGAATTTAATTGATATCTGTAATGCTATTAAGTTCTCAGAATGTTGTACTAAATGTGCATGAAAATACCCAATTTCTCCCAGTGTCTATTTCAAAATATATGATTAACTAGGTAAATTGTATCGTCAGGATTGTTTCCTGACTGAAATTCTATCTATCTATCTATCTATCTATCTATCTATCTATCTATCTATCTATCTATCATATATGATTAACTAGGTAAATTGTATCGTCAGGATTGTTTCCTGACTGAAATTCTATCTATCTATCTATCTATCATATATGATTAACTAGGTAAATTGTATCGTCAGGATTGTTTCCTGACTGAAATTCTATCTATCTATCTATCTATCTATCTATCTATCTATCTATCTATCTAATATTTATTATCATAGTCCAAAAAGAAAAAAATAAATAAAAACAAAATATCAGAGATAAAAAAGGCTATAGCAGGAGCTAAGTATATCTGTATCATGTTACAACCCAACAGTTTCTGACCACCATTGCAATGGCACAGAATTTAGTTAACTTTACAGAGACTAGTCCACGCAGTCACCAGGAGTCAACGCTGTCCAGGAGTCAACACTGACTCAAAGACACCAAAAAAAACAACAACAACCAGACTTTGCATTATAAGCACTTTGGAGAGGGGATACCACTGTATGAGTCCCCTCCTGTAGGGTGAGGGCACAAATATATAATAAAAGTATTTGAGAATAATGAAAGGTGGATACATGAGCTCATTATAGGAGAGGCATGAGAGACGTTTCTCTCTTTGCACATTAAGGTCAAAAATGCTCTCCTTGACCTCACTCCAGGTTTTGTCTAAGTCCAAATGTAGATAGATATTGAAGGGAGAACCCACAATGGACAGATAGGATGTTATTTCCTTCTTCCACAGAGAATTGTATCAGTCTATCAGAACAAGACGGACTAGGGACTCAGCCTCATAGTCTATTATTGTTGGATTTTTGTTTTTGTTTTGTTTGAGCAGTACTTTAACTGGCAAAGTCTCAGACAGGCCTCAACAGAGACACATCCAAGCTCTAACCAGAGTAATATATTTGTAACAAAGCAAGAAACTCAGAGCAGAGATCTCACAAATGTGGGTTGAATTCCTTCTAGATCTCTTTATACACCAAGCACTGTATACCATACAGCAAAAGACTTTGTACTTTAACTCTGAAAAGTTAAATTGCTGCAGGCAGATAATTGTTTCCCTTACATTATATTAGAAGCTTTTTGTGCATGGAGCATAAGTTTTGAGGATTCAAGTTTCCAAGACATAGAAGACTGAAAATAGATGCCTAGGTATTTAAAAGTCTTCAATATCTGCTCAGTTTGGATGTTGTTGATTGTCCAAATATGAGGGAGGTTAGTACACTGCTTAGTAAATGCAACCACTTTAGTTTTACCATAGTTAATTTCCAATATTTCAGACTGACAATATAATACTAGTGCATGGAAGCCCCATTTGGGATACAGAAAGAATAGCAGCACTTTTAGCATATAATACTGTGGAAACTGGGTTATGACTTAGGGATGGAGGATGGAATTTGGCTCTAGTGAGGGCTTGTATGATGTCATTAATATAGAAATTACATAATTTCTGTTTTACTACCTTGGAGATTGGAATAGATGTAGTCAGTGCTCTGCCGTTCATGCACCTGACCTGCTTTGGGGTATTTCCATGCAGCAGCAGTATTAGTTGGAGAAGACATTGATCAATAGAGGAGGCTGCCTATTTTTGCCATAATCTCTTGTGAGAAATTGAATCAAATGCTGTCTTCAGGTCTATAAAGGCAGCATAGAGGGCACCTCTTGGTAGACTGGCATATTTTGGAGACAGATGATACAAGGTGGTATGTTGACTTGGTATTGAAAAGCCTGGTCTAAAATTGGTTCCTCCATGGCTAAGGTTCCTTCATCAGTCAGTCAGTCAGCTGGCTTGTAATGGGGATGTTTTACATGTAATTTATTAATTATGCATAGGAGGGTGGTTAGACATAATCAGTTGTGTTGGTCTTACTGCCTTTTTTATAGATTAGAAGTAGTATAGAATTTCTCCATTTTTTGGGAATCTGCACTGAATTTTCAATGTAAGTAAACAGGGGCAGTAGGGAACAAGGCAGAGGCTTTCCATCAGGTCCCTCCTGGGGACTTTGCCACTTTTCAGTCAAGCAATTAAGCTTAATATTTCCAGCTTTGAAACCAGGCACCAGTCATGTAAAGAGTTAGAAAGTCTTGGGTATGTCTGAATCCCTGATTGTTGTTTGGAACAGAGTGCAAAAGTGGGCATCCCAAGTCTCCCATGATACTAAGTGGTCTATTCCTGATCCAGGTCTTGTTGCCACACTGAAGGCAAGGCTTATGACTGGAAGCATTAGTAGCTTTTGGTTCTGAAAACAGACCATGAACATGTGCTATGGAGTTGAAGATCAAGTATATGAACTGGGACTTCTTTCCCAAATCACTGCTTCTGAAACATAATTCATAATTGCAGAGTCACTCAAATAAAAGCTTTTTCTAAACCTCCTTTCCGAAAATTCTGAGTCAACTATTTTTTTTTCGTACAGATTGGCTATATTTTCCCAGAATCAATGTGTTCAGTTAATGAAATGTCTAAAATCAGCAGTTTGCTCTATAGCTCAGGTATATTTGACTCTTCCAGAATAAAACACAAAGCAAGTCACATCAAGAAAGTTTTTAAAAGTCAACATATAAGAATTTTTTTTACATAAAATAATATGAATTAGAATGCAAAATGTGTTACTTTCTTAAGTAATGAAGAAGGAGGCTTTCAGTAACCTACATAATTAATACTGTTTGGTTTGGGTGGTATTTCCTGTGCAACTCCCTATAGTTTTAGTATAGAGTTCCTATGCAGCTTTGGGCTGTCTCATTCATGGCTTTTTGGCTGGTGGATTCATAAGACTACCCATTTCAGAAGTTGCTCGCTAATTATAGAACTCCTTAGTAAGAGAAGAGGATTGGCTCCTTCCTTACACTTCTTTGGACTGACAATGTTTCTGTACAATGTCTTGGCACACTCTAATTTTAACTGTGTTCTCAACTTTCTTTTATTGTATGGTTTTTGAATCTGTGTTTCTTAGCTCTATAATGTTTAATTGATATGTCTGTTCTGGTTGGCAGAAGTGCAGTTCATACATTTAATCAATAGCCTGGGCACCTTTCTTCCATTAATCAGACATTAAATTTCTTAAATAAACACTTATCTTTCAAAAATCAGTTATGGACACCTCAGAAGTATGTGGTCTTGAAGCAAAAAACAAATATCCCTGGCTCCATACTTTGCTAAATTTGTCTACTTCCCACCCACTCTAGCTAAGTTCAAATATTGCGGTCAGAAAAGTGCCTAAGGTCTGGCTACCTATAATAATAATAATAAAAAAAAAACAGGAAGATGGAGAAAGAAAGAAATTTCAGATATTGAGATGTGATTATGTAGAGATATGTTCAAAAGAAAATCCATTCAAGTACCTTCACAGCCTGTAGTCTTTTCAACATCAATATGTGAATGTGTGACTGTTTTCCAAGTTAGAAAAGTTCTTGCTAACAAAATTCTTCTTTTTACTCTATTTTTATATAGGCACTTCATTCATAAGAGTATTCGTAGTCACAAAAAATGATGTAGCCATGTAGCTCCCCTAAGAGCATTGAAGAAACTATATTCTTAAGTAATGATCTTCTCTGGCTAATTAACTAACAGTACTGATAGGGAAATAAAAGCAAGGGGTGTATGCTTAGAAGATAATACTAAAATGTTCAAATGAGAAATTGCCTGGTATATCTTGCGCTTCTGGGCTCCTGGCAGATATCTTGCTTCGACAAATAGTGAAACACAGATGTTGGACTCCAGGTTCCATCAACCTCATTTGCGTCAAGGATGAGTTCTAATCCAGAAGAAATGTTTCACACTACATTCAGTTAAACTGATCTATTTCTCAACCTCATTTCATTTACCTTACCTTTTTTTTCTTTTTCTTTTTTAGTGGCATTGGTCGAAACTGGCCCTGGGCTTCAGGCTTACCTTTTTTTTCTTTTTCTTTTTTAGTGGCATTGGTCGAAACTGGCCCTGGGCTTCAGGCTTACCTTTTTTTTCTTTTTCTTTTTTAGTGGCATTGGTCGAAACTGGCCCTGGGCTTCAGGTGGAAGCAGCATTTTGGCAGAATTTGGAACACTCCATTTGGAATTCATACACTTAAGCTACTTATCTGGAAATCCACTGTTTGCTGAAAAGGTTAGATTAGTATTTTAACAGGCCCATCAAATGCTGACCAAATATCTGGAATTTCTACATTTTTTATTTAATTGTGGATTCTCTGAACATATTAGTTTCAAAGCACAAAAGGCTTTCTGGAATTCTTGTCATTTTCAGTGAGGTTGTATATATGGATGAAAGAAAGAATTTTCTTGAAATTACTTCTGTTGACCTTTTACTACCAACAAATGAAATGTTGAGAAAGTATTCATGTAACACTAAAACAAGATTTAGCATTAAAATGAAATCTCAGGGCCACATGTTCCTTCTACCCATGCAGCTGAAAGAATAACTCTTTGCCTTTCCCTGGAGATCTTGTTATTCAAGCAAGAGACTGGTTTAAGCCAAATGTTGGTTAGCTAGACAAAAAGTTTAGTATAATCATTTTACTTCTTTTTAAAATTGATGTTTTATTTACTTGCTTTTATGTTTCAAGTATGATTTTATATTTTATTTTTAACTGTCCTCAGTCTTATGTCATAGTAGAAGTAGATAAATAATACTATTAAATTAAATTTTAAAAACGGAAAGTTTGGGGGGTTTTGTCTTCAGTTGGTTGGTTTGAGCATAGACAAGCCAACGTTTACTGAGAATGAAACTAAACTTGAGAACTTAAAAGTTCTCCTATTAGCTACATGGGAGGAAAGCACAGGAGAAAGACAAAGAGTCCAACCAAGGATTCTCTTGGGCTCATTCCACATTTATGCATTAGATCTTTATATTCACAAGCAGCATCTTGCCTGTACTTCCATAATGTTTATTATGGATAATAGTCTATTCCAGTCACTGAGCCAGAGAAAATATTTTCTAACTTTTGTGTGTGCGTTTAGATGATCAAAAGCTGTTGTTGCTTTAAATATGCTTTGTTTATAATCATAGATTAAGAGATTACTTGCTCAAACTAAGCTATTTATTAGTGCAGTTCAGTATTGATCTTGTTTTTACATTTCCAGCCCTGGTGAATAAGTTTCCTTTAAAAAATATACCTAATAAAAAACCATTGCATGTGTGATTTGAGCAGTTCCACTCCTATAGAACATGTATCAGGAAGGAAGTAAAGTTGTTAATTAGTGCCTTAAAGGAATACTTACTTTAAAGTTAGAATAATATTACTGTACAACCAATATTTAAAAAATGAATGTATGTGTATTGTATAAATATATAACATAGATATATTTATACATATATTAAAAACCTCTCTTTTTTATTTTGAAATAGGTTATGAACATTCGAAAAGTATTAAATAGGTTGGATAAACCAGAAGGACTTTATCCTAATTATCTAAATCCTAACAGTGGTCAATGGGGTCAGCGTAAGTACTTCAGTTTAATGTGCACAAAAGAAAAATGTGTTTTCTAAGTCAGCTGAATTGTGTTGCCAGTTCTGGGTATTTCTCCTTGAATGATTTCCCCCAATCTTAGCATTTTGTTTTTCTGAACATTGGAAGGTATTTATTTATTTAATTTACATGATTTTGTGTGTAGTAGAATCTTGAGTTGTGAATTTTCTTGTTGCTAATTGTGGTGGAAAACTTACCCAATAAAGCCAACAACTGGAGAGGATTCCAAACTATTGCTTATTTTATTAAGCTAGCAGTTTGCAGTGAGTCATTGGTCTGTTACACCCTGAAGATCCAAGAACAAAGGCTACAGTATTACATCAGTTTTATATAAAATATTGATCAACAACAGCTTGGGCATGCATATACATAAGTAAAAGACCTCAGTCGGGAAAGAATTACTTTGTAACTGATAAGGATACCAAGTAATGGAAAGGGAGAGACAGGTACTATATTCTTCACAGTGTGAAATTACAAATACCTTTTCTGAAAGGCAACATAATCACTTTGATATACAAGTTGTGCCAAGGCTCTAACTTTTATTGTAACAGGTTGTACTGTACTTTATTGCAGGAACAGAGAGATAAGGAAACACAACAGTGTGCTTTCTTTGGAGGCATGAGCTTTATAACCAGTTTGTCAGTAACAAGCACAGATTGGCACAGTAATAAAAAATCCCACTCTTAAAAAATGTTACATAAGAGATACAACAAAGGGGATATACTATAGAATTAGTATGATAATACTATATTAGTATATATTAGTAGAGCAAATATAATATTTTGTTATCGATTCACATAATTAATTAAACTCAAGTTCTTATTGAAACTCTCCACACTAATAAATAAAACCTTTCTAAAGAAAAGTTTTCCCTTTTATTTGTTTTATTTATTTATCCAATTTATATGGCCATCCACCTCAACAAGTGACTCTGGATGTTAAAATAAGTTAAAATAAAATAAAAACAATTATAAACATTACAAAAGTTAAAATACATAGTGACCGAGCAACATCAGCCCAAGTCACGCGCATGACCAAGAAGCAGGTCCCTGCACTCACTCAGGGCCCCAGGCCCAGGCACAAAACCAGGCCTTCGGGGCCCTATGAAAGGCCAGCAGAGTCAGGGCCATCCTGATCTCCAGAGGGAGAGTGTTCCACAACTGGGCACTACGGCAGAAAAGGCACGTCTTCTTTGGCCGTTCTCTGGCCGACAGAACCTGAAGCACGCCCATCCTGCCTGACCAGATCGGACGGGTAGAAACAACTGGGGAGAGACCATCCCTCAAGTAACCCAGTCCTAAGCCATGAAGGGCTTTAAAGGTGACGACCAGCACCTTGCATTGCAGCTGGAAGCCCACTGGCAACCAGTGCAGCTCACAGAGTAGTGGTGTTACACCCGCCAAATAACTGGTGCCACTTACTACCCATGCTGCCACATTCTGCACCAAAACGTTTTGATAGAACTTTTTGAGCATTTTTAATAAAATATCTCCAAAACATTATCACTGCAACTTAAGAATATTGAACTGAGAGAGAACAGCATATTTCATGAGGCAAAATAACATTTAAGAACATGTTGTTAAACCAGCAAGCTGCATCTTTGAGAGTCTCCTCTGGCTTTATTCCCCACCTCCCCACCCCCGGGCTTTTATCTAGCCTTTTTTACTTTAGAAGCAAATTGAAAGTGATTTGCAGCATCATGGGTCAATTAGATTTGTCTCTAGCAATAATGGATATAATAACAGAACTTATTATTGATGAGTCTCTGCTTGTGCTATTTAATTTGCAAATGTCAGGATTTTCAGAGGTAATTCATTTAGGAAACTGTAAAGGTCATTTATATGCTGCTATTCAGAGATCAACCTTCCACTCAAAAATTCACATTTATTTATTTATTTAATTAATTATTTAATTATTTAATTAAAGGAAAGCCTCTATGTATGTATGTATGTATGTATCCATATGTATATTTGAATTAATGTACTGTTCTTTACAGTGGAGCTCTTCATACTTCTATCTTATATAATGTTTCTTTGGTAAGGGATAGCGAAGTAGCATTTTTAAAAACCAAATGCCAAGTCACAGGCTGATAGGCAAAGAAGCATTCTTTAAAGATGAAACCTTTAATAAGGGAAAAAAAAGATTCTGTGAATATATGGTTTCTTAACCTTTTTTTTAGAGGGCAACCTACTGTACCTGTCTACATTTTTTAATAGCCATAATTTAAGGACTCTTAATAGACGTTTTTCCTTCTCCTCTCCACCCCAAATGACATTTGCAAAAAAATCCAAAATCCATTTTTGAATTATACCATTTTTAGGATTCACTCAAGTAGCACAAAAGCACCCATTTGATCTCTCCAGAATTCTTAACAAGTCATAGTGTTACAAAAAGCAGGGAATGCAGGAAAGGGAGAAATCTCCCAATTAAGCCAGAAGCTTCAACGATCCACAAAATAGAAAATGAATGGTTCCAAATGAAATGGGCTTGTTGGAGATTAGGTGTTGTTCATTTCTAGATAGCAGGGAATTGGGCCACATACTTAAACTCTTGTTATGCCTACAGAGCATCATCTTGTGAAATAGTATAATCTAATGGGATAGATATATCAAAGAAGATATAGTTAGAATAAAGCACCATGCTGAAAGAGGGTTAATGTGGCTTTGCTATATTATTTTGCTATTTATTTATTTAGTTATTAAATTTATCCCCGACCATTTCTCCCTAATGGGGGACTCTGGGCAGCTCACAACTCATTGCTCTTGCACTTTTTTCCTCAGATCACGTCTCCGTTGGAGGACTTGGAGATAGCTTTTATGAGTATTTGCTTAAAGCATGGCTGATGTCTGATAAGACAGATGAAGAAGCCAAGCAAATGTATTATAATGCTGTTCAGGTAAACATTATACATAACTTGGGGCATAGTTATACATAATTGTGACAGCAAATGTTATGGTAGGGTTGTTTTTTTTAATTGTTTTGACAGTATACAGGTGAAACTTGAAAAATTAGAATATCGCGCAAATGTTCGTTTATGTCAGTAAGGCAACTCAAAAGGTGAAACCAATATATGAGATAGACACATTACATGC